CCCAAATCGAGGTACTTTTTTTCCCAAGGAGACACCTTAAGGAAAACTTTATCGCCCACATCAATATCAATGTCCTTGCATTTCAAATTTGCATACGACCTATGCCTATCCAAAGCCTCCTTAAGTCTACTTTGAATCACCCAGACATTTTCCTCAGTTTCTTGGATTAGATCTTATCCCACAATCTTCCCTTCATTAAGCTCGGTCTAACAAAGAGGAGTTCTATACTTGCGCCCATACATAGCTTCATATGGGGCCATCTGGTTGCTTGACTGATAACTATTATCGTACTCAAACTCCCCCAAAGGATGGTGATCTTCCCAACTACCCTTAAAATCAATAATAATGCACCTAAGCATGTCCTCAAGAATTTGGATAATGCGTTCTGATGGACTATCTGTCTGAGGGTTGAAAGTGGTGCTGAAATGAGTTTGGTACCTAGGGAATCATAAAGAGTTTCCCAAAACTGAGAAGTGAATCTGGGGTCTCTCTCTAAGATGATCGAAGTTGGGACTCCATGCAACCTCACTATCTCATGAATGTAGAGTTGCGCTAGTCTTTCTAAGGTGAAGTCCATTTTAACCGTTAAGAAGTGATCAGACTTAGTCAACCAATTCACTACCACCCAAATTGCATCTTGCTTGCGTTTCGTCAACGGTAACCCAGTCACAAAATCCATCGTTACTCTATCCCACTTCTACTACGGTATCTGAATTGTCTGGAGTAACCCTGAGGGAACTTGATGTTCCACCATAACTTGTTAGCACACCAAGCACTTTGCCACAAACTCGAAAAACTCTCTTATCATGCCCATTAAGAAGTATAACGGTCGAAGCTCATGGTACATCTTATTGTTACCAGGGTGGATGAAAAACGAACTACAATGGGCTTCATGAAGGATCTTACTACGCAACTGCTCAACATCAGACATAAGTAAATGACCCCTAAAATACAATATGTCACCATCTCATGATTCGAAACCTGGGGCCTCGCATCGATGAACTTGTTCCATGCGAGCTCTTAGGCAACTGTCTGAACTTTACAACCTTTTAATTTCACCTACTAACTTGGGCTCAACTCGAAGCTCGGCTAACGAACCCTCAACACTGGATATATTCAGACACGCTAACAAGGCTCTCAACTCTGACATCAACTTTCGACTCAACGCATCTGCTACAACGTTTTCTTTTTAAGGGTGATAATCGATAATACAATCATAATCCTTTAGCAATTCTACCCACCTACGCTGCCTCAAGTTTAGCTCTTTCTGGGTAAGCAAGTACTTTAAACTTTTATGGTCGGTGAAGATGTGGCAATTTTCCCCAAACAAATAATGTCTCCAAATCTTGAGCGCAAAAACAATTGATGCAAGCTTTAAATCATAGGTGGGGTAATTCCGCTCGTGATGCTTGAGCTGATGAGATGCATATGCTACCACTTTTCCTTCTTGCATCATCACATATCCAAGGTCGTTTAACGAAGCATTACTATACACATTAAACTCATTTCCCGACTTAGGCTGGTTAAGACTGAGGCTTGGGTCAAAATAGTCTTTAATTGCTCTAAACTACTCCACTGATTATTACCCCACACAAAAAGCACACCTTTCTGAATGTCATTGGGGCTGCTATCATTGATAAACCCTTTACAAAATGATTATAATAGCCCACGAGACCCAAGAAACTATGTACCTCAGTTACACTCTTAAGCGACTCCCACTCAAGTACTGTTTTAACTTTCTGAGGATCAACTCGGATGCCATTTTCTGCCACTACATGTCCAAAAAATTAAACCTCGAACAAAAAAAAACTCACACTTCCCAAACTTGGCAAACAACTGATAGTCTCGAATGGTCTGACAAACTATATGAAGATGTCAGTCATGTTCATCCTCTTATCGCAAGTATACCAAAATATCATCTATGAATACCACCACGAACTAATCCAAATACGGATAAAAACTTGGTTAATGAGATACATGAATGTCGTCAGGCCGTTGGTGAGTCCAAATGGTATTACAAGAAACTTATAGTGACTGTATTTTATCTTGAATATCGTCTTTGCTATATCTGCTTCCTTAACCTTTAACTGGTAATACCCATATCCCAAGTCTATCTTAGAGAAGACACACGCTCCCTTGAACTAGTCAAAGAGGTCATCGATTCTGGGTAAGGGATAACAATTCTTAATGGTCAACTTGTTCAACTGACGGTAATTGATGCACAACCTCATCGACTCATCCTTCTTCTTAACAAAAATAAATAACGCTCACCAAGGAGAGATACTTGGCCAAATGAAACCATTCTCTAACAACTCTTGGATTTGAACCTTTAACTCTTTTCGTTCATTCGGTGCCATTCCATAGGGGGCAATAGATGCCTGAGCGGACCCTGACATTACCTCAATTCCAAACTTTAACTCTCGATCCGGCGATAACCCTTGTAACTTCTCCGGAAAAACATCTAAAAAGTCTATGATGGTTTCAGATATCCTCAATCTATGAAACTGCTACTCTAGTGTCGACTACATAAGCCAAGAAGGCTTTACAACCCTGATGAAGCATCCTTTGATCTTTAAGGGTCAACACAACCCTTGCGCACTTGGGCTTTTCGCCAAACATCACAATTTGAAGGATGAATTGTGATTCAACAGAGGAGAATTTCCAAGAGTTTGTGCTTTGGTCAATTAAATTTGCAACCCGATTGAGACTATTTATACAAGGACTTTCTATCCAAGTTGAAGGATGAGTTGGTAGCCAAAAATCATTCTAGAAAGAGAGAGATGTCCCGGAACCAACTCTCCAACAAACACCCATCGCAAGCACATTCCTTGCGCTCCAAACATTGCGCCAGATATACGATGGGCATAAACCCAATTGTACCTACCAAAAATCTAAATTTGGGTAATATTTGGCCTGAATTAATAAGCTCATTAAAGAACTCATATCATGAACCAACTTTAACCCTTGTTTTGTGAGGAGGACGATATTTAATTTGTTGAAATCGTGAAACCCAAGGCCACCATTTTCTTTTAACTCGCAAAGAGACTTCCACGAACACTAATGGATGCCTTTCTTCTGCGAAGACTTTTGCCACCAGAATCTCGAAATTATCCCTTTTATCTCTGAACATAAACTCTTCGAGAGTAAGAAACAATACATAGAGAACAAATGTATTGCTTGTAGTATCGATTTGATAAAAACTTCTCTACCTCCATGGGATAAGTAGCGAATGCTCCAAGAAGTGATTTGAGCAGTGATTTTCTCTTTGAGCTGAGTGAAGGAACCTTTCTTATTTTGACTTATGATCGTTGGCAACCCCAAATATTTCTCCAGGTTTCACTGAGTTAGTGACCCCAATATACGTCACACATCCGCCCTATTTTCTTCGATCACGTTGGAGCTAAAAAATAAGCCCGATTTATCAAGATTAATAACCTGACTAAAAAACAAACCATATGTGCGGAGAATAACCGAAATAGAGCTGGCATTAGACGCATACTCTTCACCAAATAACAAACAATCATCTTCAAACATTATATGGGTAATCAGTGGAGCATACCGATTAACCCTGACACTTTTCAAACTCCCACGTTCTACTGCTTGCCTAATTATGGAGGATAATCCCTTGTTGCAAAGAAAAAATAAATACGGGCTCAACAAGTTTCATTGCCAAAGGCCACGATTGGTAAAGAACTCGTCCCCAACAACACTGTTAACAATCATAGAATAAGCGACATTATTAACACACCGACGAATCTTTAAAATCCAGTGATTCCACCTAATTACTGCCCATACAAATTCCCACTCAACACGGTCGTAGGCCTTGCTCATATCCAGTTTGAGAGCAAAGAAACCTTTCTTACCAGCACGTCTTTTAAGGAAAGAATACAAAAGTTCATAGGTCGAGATTATGTTGTTTGTGATCTATCGACCCAGCACAAAAACGCTTTGCGCCTCGTCGATACAATAATGCAAAATCCCCTGCATCCGATTCACTAGCATTTTTGGCACAATTGTAAACAAAACGTTGCAGAGACTAATCGGGTGAAAGTGTGTCATTCTTGTAGAAGAGTGAATCTTTGGTAAAAGAACTATATGAGTTTTGTTCACTAACCTCATGTCTGCGTCCCCATTAATCAAATCCAAACAATAATTGGCAACATCACGACCTATAATATGCCAAAATCTCTGGTAGAATACGGCTCCCAACCCATCCTAACCTGAGGGTTTTAGTGGACTCATCTCCTTAACCGCTCTAACCACATCCTCATAAGTGAACTCTGCATAAAGTCTCTCATTCATGTCATTGGAAATGCACCCGGACATATTGTCAAGAACTTCATTAAACTCATCGAGGATGCAGTCAAATATCAAATATATGTACAAGCAAGTGATGGAGCTATGGAAGAGTTTGCAAGGCTGATCATTTCCAGGGCATACCGGGGAGATGCATACGTGAAGTATCCGAGTTGGCACGACTCATTCCTCCTCTTTAGGGCATTTGAACCCATAGTACTTGACTAGAATTTCCAACTTCTGCTCTCAATTCATGGTACAAGAAGAACATTGATGGTGGGTATGGGGAAACCGATATCTGAAGGCAGCAGGAGGTATATGCTGGAGAGCAGTTCTCTTCGGAAGCTTCCTGCCGATCCATCAATCCAGTAAAAGATGCAGCGACGACATCCACGATTGACATGTCTTTAGTTGAGCCTTCTTGTCCTTTTCTGTTTTAGTTTGTAGGTACTAGGAACTCTTCAATTGTTCCATTTGAATAATATCAGAATTTAAGAGCAATTTGTGTTTAGTTCAACATAGGATCATATTTGTCGTTATGGAATAATGTATTTATCGATATTCATCATCGTAATCGATATTATGATTTATATTTTTGACTCCTTCAAAAGAAGCCTTCATTTTATGAAGTGTCGTCTGTCAAATAATAATATGATATTTCGTTGCACGTATTAAGCAGGGACTATCAAATAATCAATTACAGATAAATATACATACATCTAGAGGATTCAAGTGTTCTAACATGTAAAAAGTATCTGAGAAAAAAGAAAGACAACTTTGTACCTCATGCGAATGAAATGGTGAATCTAATTAAAGGCATTTGTAGCAGCATATAAGAAGTCCAAAAAGCCTGTTCCCTTTAAAAGGCCTTTACCAGTCAAGAGCTCAAAATCCAGCAACAGCAGGAAACCGATGATAGCTGCCTTCCCATTTATGATTTCGTTCTTTCCCGTGAAACCAAACCCCTCCGAGTTCTCATCGATTACCATTCTCACCTAAAGAACGGCGTATGCAAGGATTATCAGACAAGTCAGATTACGCGCTTCTAAGAGTCTGAATTTATTATGCTTTGTAATGACAACAATGTGTTACCTCGTCCACATTAACATCGGAAGCAGTTATACCCGGTTGAGCTTTTCCACTAAAGACAATCTCTGCTGCTGCATCGGAGTTTACACTGCCTTGCATGCTGATATAAACATTTTCGTCGTCGGTCTTTACAGGGTAAACATAAAGTTTCCTCAAAGCAGGTGTAAGGGCTCGCAGCACTGGGTTTTTTGGATACCATTCCTTGATGGCTCCAGTCCGAAGATCAAATGTGCTATCAGTTGTCGGACAAACTATACAACCATCCTGTAAAAGAGAAAAAAAGGTACAATCAGAAATTTGCCATTCATCATTCTAAGAGTCCTTAGCATTAGCAGGTAAAATACCAAACAGAAAAACCAAATTGAGAGAAGACATGCAAAAGGATATGAGAATGGAAAAAAGGTTATAGATTTCTATTTGTTCTTAGAATGAGTACAAACAAAAAGGCTCAACTTCCTTATCATTGTATAACTTCTCATGTTGTCCAAATCAAATGTCACCAATTTGAAAATGTAGCGAACTACATACAAAAGTGACGTATTTTTCCTCCCGCGTCACAGCCTTAGCAAGAAAAAGAGATGGATCTACGCTTCCTATAGACAACTTTATAGTTTCATTATCAATGAATCAGTGATTTCCAAAGTAAATGCACTTTGGATTGGCCACCATCCCAATAATCTTCATCCCAACACCGGAAAAGGGTACGCTTTCAAAAACAAAGATTTGTCGAGTTTGTCATAAACTTCCTTCAACCACAAGGATTTGGACGACAGACAAGCCGTGAGTGCACTGCATACCAGACGACAGCATAAAATTGATGGCACACAATTCACTAAAAGACCTTTTTTCACCAACTGTAAACATAGAAGTTCTGAGTTATTTTATAACGACACTGAATTAAGTTCAGATGGCGGATATCGGTCCATCATCTTGATATCTGGCTTGGGAGTGACCATTTTGAAGTTGCTTAATTTGTAAGAATATTAAGACTCTGGCACGGTGGCCGGAGGCTGCCGAACGGCGGCTGTCACAGGTAAAAGGGGAACCAGTAAGTATTGTCTGTGAAGAGAACTAATAAGAGAGTTTTTACTGAATCTGAGAGAGAGGATTACAAAAGCTTGGCCATAGCCCAATACTTCGGTATGCTTATATGGCCCTTAACAATATACTAATAAAGTAACTAAATTCCAACTAATTAACAGAAAATTAGATTCGACTACATTCAATATTCTGACATAATTTACCTTCCCCGTCCGAACTCGTAGGCAATTACTAACAGTCTACATGGAGAATGGAGACCACTAACTTTTTCCGGTATAAACTGAGCTCGAGCTTCTTTCTATCAGCATCCAATCGAATTCAGAGTTTCAACTAATAGTTCCAGCGTTTGCATATCTAAACTGGAAGACTATCCATTCCACTGCTAAAAAGTGGGGGGGATGATATTTTCTATAGGCTTAACTTCTGTAATATTCTCTCTCTTAAGCCTTAACTATCTGCTTAAAACCAGTTAAAATCTGGTGTTTAAATCCCGTTAACATCAACCCAATGTTTCTTTACACTTGAATTCTGCATGACTTAACCCCAAACCTGGATTTTGACAATTTAGGAAGTATTTAAATCTTCAAGATTACACAAGTAAAGAGGCGAAAAAGGAACCTGGGTAAGCTTGGCATTGAGCAAACCCTCAGTGTAAGCGCCTTCAGCGGGCGAACGATTCTCAATTGCGAAAACCTCATCCTTATACCAAAGCAACAGGATGTTCTCCCCGTCTTGTATGATCACACGCCGCTCTCCCTTGGGAAGCACCGCCAGCGGGACCACTGGCACCCAGTTCTCACCACCAGAACCGCCGTCCGAAGCCGCTGATTGTTCACTCACGGAAGGCATTTCCGTGGCTTTGCAAGTGATTCTACTTCTGCTGCATTGTTTAATGGAAAAGCTGTAGGTAGTGGAAAGAGGAGCGTTGGGAGGGAGGATAATGGGAGGAGGCGATGGGGAATTCCGGCGGCGGCGGAGGATGGAAGTGGAAGTGAAATTGTAATGGTGGTGGAAAGCGTTGGCCATCGGAAGAGGAGAGAATTAGGAGGAGGCGAGAGACTGAAGAAGGAAAAGGCAAGGGATTGCATTGCATGGCCACAGAAAAATGAGTGGATAAACTAAACTATGCTTTGTGTATGTCTTTATGTCCACATTCTTTTTTTTAATAAATATTACTACTACATAAAAAACATATATAATTATTATTTTTCATCTTTATAGACTTTATTTATTCTGGATATTGTCTTACTTATAATTTAAATAAACAAAATATTAATATAAAAATAATTTAATAAATCAATACATTAATAATGTAATAGTATTATTTTGTATATTTTATATTTAGATTTTTTTTATAAACATCGATATTTAATTAATTAATTTGAATTAAACATTGTAGAGTTAAGAATGACTCTTCTAAAGTTAATTTACTCCATTTATAAATGTTTAAACTCCCAATCTTACCTAAGTGATCTTACCAATTATGATTAAATTAATATATTTTGTCAAAATACTACAAACTCCATTAAATTAATATATTACCGTTTCTCTCCCTGTCTTCGGTGGTTAAGTGATTCTTCAGTTTTCTTAGACAAGGTTCGAGGGCCGGTATACAAAGAAATTAAAAATATTACAAACTCGATTGATACATGTAATATTTATTGATGTGTATGTATGATATAATTTAAAGTAACAAACTATGAGTTAGATTAAGTTTTACACAAGCGAGATTCTTTATTATCCAAATTCATCTTATTTCGATAATATTAAATTTAAATATTGTATAATTTTAATATTATTGGAAGACAAACTCAACATTCATGGAATTGTATAAAAAGCTTAATTATTAAGGTAGTCCCACAAAAAATTATAAAATTGCAGTAATGATGAAGTTACAATATGCTTAATTATTAAGCAAAGTGCATGGCGGTAAAGATACCATCACGTGAAAGATGGTGAGGCGGTATGAGAAGATGAGATGCAATGAAGGCAGTAGTTTGGAAAACATGTGGCAACACCAAATGTTGAGTTACCAACAAGCAATTCTTATCAAATAAGAATGGACTTTGAAAAGTCAAATGCATGGAATTTAAAGAAGGCAAGCAAGTATTAAGGCGGCAGAGAGAAATTGAGAAGCATCCAGAGCTGAAAAGTAGTCGGTTTAATTAGCTTATAAATATATGCAATGTATGTATGCAAAGTGAAAGAGAAGAAATATGAGGAAAAGCTTAGAAAAGTCAGAATGAGAGATGGCTTAACAAAGCTATTAAAGAGAATTGAGTAAAACTTAGCAAAGCTTAGAATAGAGAGGTTGTGTTTGTAAACAAGCCGCATCTAGTGTTGTAATATTGTAATATTGGGGTAACATCATTGTAACGTATTTTGCCTCGTATTAATAATATTTCGAGTTATATAAATTACTCGAGTGCCCACCTACACTTCCAACAAGTGGTACAGAGCCAGGTTCGAGTTTAAAGTGGTGAAGAAGATGACCAACATGATTCAACCTCAAATCCCGAGATTGAGAAAGACAAATTATGGCAATTGGAGCATTCAAATGAATGTGTTACTAGGCTCCTAAGATTGTTGGGATATCATCGATGATGGTTACACCGAGCTTGAAAATGCAGCAGAAGAAGCAACCCTGACTAATGAAGAAAAGAAGGCATTGAAGGAATCCCGGAAAAAAATAAAAGAGCATTATTCTTTATTTTTAAAGAGTAGACGAATCTACCTTTGAAAAAAATTTTGATTCAAAAACCGCAAAACAAGCGTGGGAGATTTTGCAAAAATCTCTACAATGTGTCGAAAAAGCAAAGAATAATACATAGCAGCAGCAGCGTGCACTTGCCAAGCAATGTGGTTAAAGAATATTTTGAACGAGCTAAATTTGGCACAAGAAGAACCAATTACAATTTATGTCTACAACAAGTCTACAATTTCCCTTGCTAAGAATCCATTATCTCATAGCCGAAGCAAGCATATTGATGCAAAGTATCACTTTATACGAGAGCAGGTGAATAACAAAAATATGGAGCTAATTTACTGTAAAACTGAAGATCAACTAGCAGACATTTTCACAAAGCCATTGAGAGAAGATATATTCAACCGACTCAAAGAAAAACTTGTAATGGAAAGTCGAGTTTGAGGGGGGTGTTGGAAGTTAAACTCAACATTCATGGAATTGTGTAGAAAGCTTAGTTATTAAGGTGGTCCCATAAAAAATTATAAAATTGCAGTAATGATGAAGTTACAATATGTTTAATTATTAAGCAAAGTGCATGGCGGCAAAGATACCATCACGTGAAAGATGGTGAGGCGGTATGAGAAGATAAGATGAAATGATAGTAGTAGTTTCGAAAGCATGTGGCAACACCAAATATTGAGTTAGCAGCAAGCAATTCTTATCAAATAAGAATGGACTTTGAAAAATCAAAATTGCATGGAATTTAATGAAGGCAAGCAAGTATTAAGGCGACAGAGAGAAATTGAGAAGCATCCAGAGTTGAAAAGTAGTCGGTTTAATTAGCTTATAAATATATGCAATGTATGTATGCAAAGTGAAAGAGAATGAATATGAGGAAAAGCTTAGAAAAGCCATAATGAGAGATAGCTTAGCAAAGTTATTAGAGAGAATTGAGTAAAGTTTAGCAAAGCTTTGAATAGCGAGGTTGTGTTTGTAAACAAGCTGCATCTAGTGTTGTAATATTATAATATTGGGGTAACGTTGTTGTAACGTATTTTGCCTCGTATTAATAATATTTCGAGTTATATAAATTACTCGAGTGCTCATCTACACTTCCAACAAATATGTTGATTAAAATATAATTTTTTATTGTAACATTCTAAACCAGTACGACACATAGTCGACTGATTAGTGTCACATGGAACCACTGGAGCGACTAACAAAAAACTTTCTTTTAATATCTTAATTAAAATGGGTTTTTGAAAATACTCATGATAAAATAAATCAACCACAATTATATAAAATAGTTTATATCAGGAGCTCCCAAATTAAATAAATCAAAATACACAGACCATCGTTTAAAATAAGTTACGACTCGAATATACAAAAGAGGGTCTATAAATATACATGTCCTCTAAAGGAATAATCTCGAGACGTACTCTGCACTATAACTCGGTCTGGATCATTGCTGCTAAAAAGGCTCATTGACTGCTCCTCTATTAACGTGCGTAAGGAAACAAATTCCAAACGCTGAGCTAACTAGCCCAGTTCCACACTAACACTTAGCCATACTAAAAGTGTTCATTAAATGCTTAAGCTAACTGGTAAAATGCAATAGTGACTATACTTGTATACTGCACTCTCTACTCTACGATAAACATCATGGTACGACTGAGGGTTCTGCATCTCGAAGCTCACTGACCCCTTTAGTCTATCGAGGATGAGGCTCGAAATCTCTACATCAGACACAACACCCTCGACAAACCCACCCCTCGTGAGTGTCGAGCCTTGGATCTAGTTAGTCAGTTTAAAATGCCTCGCACATTACCTAACGATATTCGGATTGATTCTATACTTCGACACCATTATCTTTACTAAAGGAACTCATGTGTCCTGATCGTTTCCCGAGCATCAATCAATGTTAGTTTTATGTCACCCTAATTGATCTAGTTTCTAGATGTAGTTAAGCATTATTATTGTTTTCACTTGTAGTCTTATTTGGGGTAATTAAAATATTTTTGCGAAACCTAATCCCTTTTAAAAGTCCCTTAAATTTCATGCCCAAAAGTGTACTATGGTATCGATGCCATGCCTCTCAGTACCGATACCGTCCCTTGAGTATCGATACTCGTCCCAAGTATCGATACTCTACTATTATATTTTATTGGAGGAAAAGGGGTGGTATTGATACTCCTATGGGGAGTATCGATACTCAGCCCCTGCTATCGATTCTCCCTAAAGTATCGATACCAAAAATTCACACTGGAAAAGAAGTTTCGATACCAAACTCCTAGTCTCGATATCGAAACCCTAATATTGATACTTCTTCAAGGGGTATCGATATTTCCCTCACAACCTCCTTAAATTTAAGCATATCATAAGAATAATATCAGTATTATTCATCTAGTACCGATACTCACCCTCAAAAATGCCCTGTTTAGGCACGAATTGGACACTCAAACTCACTCGTATTACCAACTTGAGGTTTTCAATCATTATTATTGTCTTATGTAGTTACAAAGGGGTATAAATAAGGCTTTAAACATGTTTAAAACTCTAAAACATGAAATCTACCATGATAATGTTTAGTATGCTTCAAACTCTTAAGCTAATGTTGCATTTCTAATGACTCACGAAGGGTATGAAGAAGTAAATGTGTTACCTTGAATTCTTAGCTACTAGAAAAGCCCTCAAATCACTCAAGGGATAACTTCTTTTTTCCTCTTGTCCTTGAGCTTTCTCCCACTTCTTTCACTAATTAAAGGTATGAAAAAAGGAATTACTAACTTAACTAGGAGATTGGATTAAAGATAAGGACACTTCCTAGAACTTGAATCTATAAAAAAAAACTAGAATCCATATGTTCTCTTAAACCCACTTTTGGAAATTAAGTGTAAAACTTGAGAAATAAGGCTTAAATTGAAGCTCTTTTATTGTAGGTTACTATGCTTACCTTAACTAAACTCAAATAGGCTTAAAATCCTTGAAATCTTCACTTAAAAGAGGAAGGAGAAGAGAAGAAAGATGAGATGAAAGGAAGAGTGTTTGGTGAGTGTTTAGGAGGGAGCGGTTCACGTAAAACCCATAAAAATATGGGATTTTCAGCATTTGATTTAAGAAATAGGTAAATTACACTTTTGGTCCCTCTTTTTTTCATAAATACTCATCACCTTTTATTAATTCTATTGGGCCCAACTAAACTTGATCCAACTATTCTAATAGGTCCTTTGAGCTCAAATTATGGATCTTAGTTTGACCTAAACTGCTAACCCAAGATTCAGGACATTACATTTATAATACATATTTCTATTCTTAAATATTATAATTAATATCGCATATACAAAATTTTAGTATAAAATTAAAATTTCAATGCTAATACAAATCATAAATAGAATTAAAAAGGATGATGTATACCTTGAAAGTGAAATGATAAATACAAAATAATTTC